CATCATTTTTTATTTATTTTTGGGACAGAGAGAGACAGAGCATGAACGGGGGAGGGGCAGAGAGAGAGGGAGACACAGAATCGGAAACAGGCTCCAGGCTCTGAGCCATCCGCCCAGAGCCTGACGCGGGGCTCGAACTCACGGACCGCGAGATCGTGACCTGGCTGAAGTCGGACGCTTAACCGACTGCGCCACCCAGGCGCCCCTCAAGATTGTTTTTGATTTAATGTTTATTTATTTTGAGAAAGAGAGAGAGACAGTGCGAGCAAGGAAGGGGCAGAGAGAGAGAGGGAGACACAGGATCTGAAGCAGGTTCCAGGCTCTGAGCTGGACGTGGCCCGTCCAGCTCTGTGGATGAGCCCACAGAGCCCGACGTGGGGCTTGAACTGATGAGCTGTGAGATCATGACCTAAGCCAAAGTCGGACGCTTAACTGACTGAGCCACCTAGGTGCCCCTGTTTTTGTTTTTAATGCCGTCTATGTCTCTCTTTTTAACTTACACCTTTTGGACATATGGAGTATATTTGTAATAACTGTTTTAATGTCCTTCTTACTAATTCTATTATATATGTCTTTTCATTTTTCCTGTTTTTTAGTTGTCTGAGGTGGAAGGGTAAATCCAATCCCTGTTACTTTATTGTATCCAGGAGCAGAAGTCCAGAAGGGAATGTGAAAAGCCCCATCTAGTACCTTCAAAGGATTGGAGTACTAACAAGTAGTCATTTCACTGGTCATATAAATCATACTTATCATGACTTGTAGACATCTAAAAATTATTTGAAGGGGTGCCTGGGTGACTCATTTGGTTAAGTGTCCAACTTTGTAGCTCAGGTCATGGTCTCATGGTTTGTGAGTTCGAGCCCTGCGTTGGTCTCTGTGCTGACAGCTCAGAGCCTAGAGCCTGCTTCGGATTCTGTGTCTTCCTCTCTCTGTCCCTCCTCCACTCGCACTCTGTCTGTCTGTCTCTCTCTCAAAATAAATAAACATTAAAAAATTTTGTAAATTATTTAGAATTATTCAAGCATATATTTATGTAAATATCCAAACACATTATCGTTATGATTAAAGTTGCCTTTGTCACCATCCCTTGGCCACCCATTTGAAATCCCTGTGACCGGTGCAATGTGTATTCTTCCATGCTGTCTTCTTGGCATTTATATACATACGTGTATGGGAGGCATTACTGTAGACATAACATACCAACATTTACGTATATGCGTGTATTTATGTACCTGTAGGTGCCTAATGAAGTCTATAGTACTAATTTCTGAAAAATACCGTATGTAAAAGTATTTTCATACATGAATTTTGTTGTGCATTTTGGGCCCCACCGAAGTGAATGGTTGAATATCTACTGTTAGTACATATTGGCCTCTTTCTTTTTGGTAATTGCATGATTTTCCATGGTAAGGATATACCGTAATTTATTTCACCATTATGTGTTGAGCATTTAAGTGTTTCAGTTTTTGCTCTTAACAAGCAGTGCTGAAGTGAATAATGTTATTCTTGCTTGTGTATGTGTGCGTGTGGCAGATGTTTCTCTAGGGTAGATGTCAAGAAAAAGAAATGTTAGGTCATAGGGTATGCATGTTGTAAATTCTAATAACTTCTGCCAAACTGCCCCCAGAGTGTTTGTCCCCGTGTACACCCCCCCTCCCCAGCTGTCTATGCCAAGTACTCCTCTCCCTACACTTTCTGTGACCTTTCCGGTTTTTAAAAATTTTAACATCCCACACCTACAGAGAAGCAGACAGATCTCACTGAGTAACAGCTCTGTGCGTTATCCCAAAGTGAGCCCATCCATGTGGGTTTTTAAGTTGGAAAAGTTCTGTGTTTTTGTGTTCTAGTCAAAGTTCTTTTGTAGTTACACTTTAAATGGTTTGCATAAAATTTTCATGGAATATAGCAGTCATCTGCAAGTTAAACCTAAGACAGATGGGTGATTTGGATCTTAGTGCTCTAATGTAATTCTCCTATCAGTTTTGAAGGGCAGTGTGATTTTGTAAGATTTTCATCATTGTGCTAACTAGTTTCAGCACTTCTGAAAACCTTTGAGGCTAGATCTGGTCCCTGTGAAACAAAGGCTTCCTCCAGCAGCTATGTGCAGTAACATGAGATGTTCTTGAATTAATGGACAGGGTAAAACGTCTTCCTAGTTTCTGCTTCAGGTGACTGTTACCTGCCCTACGTATAGAATGGAAAACTGAGCCCTCTGTCCTGCCTTTAGTCCGCTTCATAGGAGGCTACCTCTTCTCAGGGGACCAGGGGGCATGAAGAAAGGGTTCTTGGGTCACTTCAGAGGAATTAGTTTACGTCCCTTTCAAGAAGGGCTGCCGAAAACTCCTAGAATAGACAGACACTGGGCTAAATCACTCTGCCCCTCTCCTCACCTCCGCCCCCACGTCTGCACCTGCTTCCCGAATATGCTTTTTAGTCCCAGATGGAGAGGATAATGGACATATTCTCTCCACAGGTGGTTCTCACAACCTGCTCTCTCAGGTCCCTCCCACCCTCCCACCATTGCACAGGAGAAAACCCAGATTCTGAATTCCTTTTGATTCCTGGGCTTTAGTTTAAAAACTGAAGCATTAGCTCTCACATTGTAGAATTTGTCTGCCAAAGTCTGTGTCAGAGTTTGGAAAACTAGGAGGAGGGCCGCAGTAGTCTGCTGATAATTCAAAGTCAGCTGAAATGTTTTCAGAGTTATGATTTAATTTTTTGTTCTCTGTTGAGTCTCTTGAGCAGCCAACAGTCACAGAATTGATTGGCCAGCAACAGCACTGAGTACCATTAATATTAAAAGTGCTTATTTGAGGATAATAAAAATTGTATCAAGTCTGTCAAAGAGGTATTTGGATCTACAGAATACTGAAGAGAAAGCTGAATTCGGAATAATAATAAAAGACCATGTAAGCCATTGCCAGGCAAAAAAAGTTGCACCGTCTGTTAATACTTCTGGTCAACTTCCTTCTGCCATGTTCCCCCCTGCCCTCCCTTTTCAATTAATCATTGACTTTGGGGATGCCTGCAGCTGCTCTCTTATTCATAGTTTTATAACCGAATTTCTTTGTCTTCCTAGCACGAAAGCTAAATTTCTCTGGCTGATGTCTCTTGGTTTTTCAATAGGTATCTTGGTGGTTGTGGAAAGTCCACTCCCAGAAAAAACCAAAACGCAAAAACATCCTCTGCCCAGGACACATCACCAAATACATACAGACTCATCTCTCATTGAGCTACATATCTTCCTCTTTGGCAACAAGAATGATTTACTTGGTGCCATGTTTTTCGGTTTGTCTGCTCTGAAGCCAGCAGCTATTACGGGCTTGGCGTTCCCAGGCACCCAGTTAAGCGAAGGTGACGTGTGTAGTAGGTATCAGATGGATCTGGATATAGAAAAAGCAGCTGGTTCAAAACCGCATCGCTGCCTTTCGGTGCTGGAGCTGTTCACACTTGGGTTAGATAAGGCACGGAGTCCTCCTACGCAGGTACGGAAGCGAATCAGACAGTGTGGCTCTTTGGGCAGCCCATCCATTTCTAGAGTGATTGCTTGGCTCCCCTGTGGAGTGACAGGCAGATCCCTGGAATCCAGAATTTAGCGGTGGCTAGGCAGAACCCTCAAACTGGCTAGGCCCTCACTCTGCGTCTTTGGTTCCTTAGAGGTAAATAAACAATCCTTGACCCTCTTTTCACATGCATCTTAGATCAGACGACTCTGCCAAGGCTGACTTCTCTTCCCCCTTTCTCCCCGGCTTTCCAAGCACCTGCTTTTTCTTATTCGAACTTGTTTTTCCCTTTCTTTGAAACTCTAACAGATGCCAGACAGGGCATTTTCTTTAGCTTGGTTATTAAGCAGGACTCGAACATTTATTTTCCGCTGGTTTGGGCTTTTCATTTCAGAGTTCACAGAGATTAACTCTTTTTTCTGATCCCTTCCAGAGTAAATGTGTCAAATACTGGCCTGACGAGTGTGCTCTAAAAGAATATGGGGTCATGCGTGTTAGGAACGTCAAAGAAAGCGCCGCTCATGACTATACGTTAAGAGAACTTAAACTTTCGAAGGTTGGACAAGTAAGTATATTGTCGTATTTTAGAGACTTTGGTAGCTGGTTATGGTGTGCACGAATCCAGGGTCATGGGGTTACCCATGTTTGCATGTATCCCTGCTCTCGTTCGCTCACTGGTCGGGTGCTTTCTGTGTACCAGATGCATACTGGTACAGTGGCAACAAGACGGGTGCAGTTCCTGCCCTCAGGGCCTAAGGAGACGGAAGGTTAAAAAATAAACAACCAACTAAGCTTTCCGATTGTGCTCAGTCTACAAGGGCTCCAGGACGTTTCGGTAGAAGTGACTGGGTACCAGAGATGGAGTAATCAGGGAGATTGCTGTATCAGAGTAACCTCTCTGAGGCTGTGTCACTTGAGCTGAAGGTGGGGGAGCCAGGCACCTAGAGCGTCTGGAGAGGAGTGTTCCAGGTGTGGGAGCAGCAAGTGTAAAGCCCCTGAGGCCTGTTCAGTGATCAGATTCCAGGGCATCAGATCTTAACCGCACGTGGTTTAAGTTTGTTGCTGAAGTGACTAACTTTACAAAACGGTGTTGGATTTGGATTCATTTTCATTTCATGATGAGAGGGGACTTACTTTCTCAAGGCCTTTTGGGGACACAGAGGCGAATGAAGCCTTTGTCCTCAAGGAATTAAAATCGCGTAGCCGTGAGAAGCCACAGGAACAGATAGCCGTGCTGCAGAGCGGACGCGGGCTGTAACAAATCCAAAGTGCATGGAATTGCAGAGGCTGAGCGTCCTTCCAGCCGGGGCGTCAGGGAGGCTGTCTCAGAAGAGGCGGGGCTTTTCTGAGTGAGGTTTCCACCGGAGAAGACGATGGAGAGAGGGCTCCCAGAGGGAGGTGTCCCCGTGAGCCCTGGCACTGCAGTGCAGATGGAAGGGGAGCGGGATTTACGGGGAGTGAAGGCAAGTGAGGGATGGAGGGGATAGACTGGAGAGAGGCCGGGACCAAGTTGGGAAGTCTTAACCCTCATGTTAAGAAATGCGAACTCCATGCGGTGGTTAGCCCGGAGCCCATGACGGTGATCACGCCAAGCGAACGCACACACAGAGCCGCGTGCCAGGAAGGTGTCTGACAGCCTCGGGTGGGGAGGCCAGGCCGGGTGGCCCGAGTGGCCAGCACGCCTGTTAGGAGGCCGCTGCGGTGGTCCGGGTCTGACGGCCTCCCCTCTAGGTCAGATCCCAGGGACTCTGGCAGTTGGTCTTTCTTGTTGTGCTTCTTATTCCCGCCTTTGGAAATGAATAGCATGTAATATGCCAGGACAAACGTGGGAGAGGAGTGACGGACATGACGGATGCCTTGAGGTGGCGCCTGCGGGACGTGGGGCACAGTTGGGCAGTTGGAGGAGGAGGAGGAGGAAGAAGAACCAAACGCAGCGGGCGGTGGTGCTGTGACGAGGCCAGAAACGCTGGCAGAAGGTGTGCAGGATGGCAGGGCTTGAATCGTCCAGGTGAAAGGTGGCACGGTGGACAGAAGGGGACCTCCTGGAGGTAACTGAGTAGAAGGGGTTTGGCGACAGCGTGGACAAGGGTCGAGGCCGGCGCTAAGGATGACCGCCAGTTTTCTAGCGAGAGCGTGGGGTTGGTGGCCGTGGATTTGAGGGGGGAGGGAGGGTCAGCAGCCTTCTGGACACACAAATTGTGAGATGCCTTTGAGACGTCAAAGCGAAGATGGCAGGGAGGCAGGAACGGAGGTTGGGCGAGGAGAGAGGTGGGACCCAGAGCATCGTGGTGGGTGGAGGGTTCGTCCTTCTGTGACAGCAGAACGGGAAGAGGAGAAGGTGGCCACAGATGCGGGTAGAGGGGCTGAAATGGATTTTCTCTGTGTTCTCTATGAGGCCAGGCCATCAGCTGGGAATCAGAGACGAGCTATGTGGGAAGGTGGAAAAAGTATTGACTGGTAATGTAGTAATAGCAGAGATGAGGGGAATCCAGCACGATTTCGGGCAGTGCTGAGCACCCTGTTGAGGTGGCGAACGTGAACACTTAGTGACACCAATCCCTGTTCCTTAGGTACAAAACAGAGAAGGTGGGTGGTTGGTTTTGCCCAGGCTTGGGGCTTTTCCCGGGGATGGAGTGGATGGAGTGAGGGTGGAGGGAGGGGAGGGATGCAGTGGAGGGGATTGTCAGCATAGTATGTGGCACCCAAGCCCAACGAGGGGGCAGGGGGAGGCGGGTGGAGAGCAGACGAGGGCCCGGCAGTCTGCTGAGTTCCACGAGGTGGTCAGGGGACCAAAGCGAACTGGAAGCCCGGCCAGTTGCTAGAACTTCTGATGTCAGTGGGGGTGTGGTTCTGCTGATGGTGGGGTGGGGGGAGGTTTACTCCGCTGCAGAGATGGAGAGAGAAGCTGGAAAAGCACAGCGGAAGCAACAGAAATGAAAGAGATTTAGGGGACGCTAGCCAGAGATTCCACGTAGGTGTGTTCAGTTTTAGAGCTAACCGCCCATCTTTCTGTTATCAGGCGTTTCTGAGTAGCAGGTGGATTTTTCTTCAGTTTTAGTAATAAACCATCCATATTCTTGTTAACAGAGATTTTTGAACAACAGGTACAGGAAAGTTTGGCATTTGGATTTGTATTTTATACCCGTGGATTCAGGTGCTGACACGGGACAGACTATTTCTCCAGAATTGCTGGTCACGTGTTACCTGCTTTTTATGTAACACGTTACATTTTTTCTTTAAAATGCTATGACACGATCTCATTTAAACTCCTAACTGCCTGGCAGAGATCTCTTGGGACAGAGGTTACCAAGGAGGAGGAGCATGGATGTGCAGGGCAGCTGGGTCTCATTCCCTGACTGTTCTGTGACCCATGTGGCCCCTGAGCCTTAGCAACTGGTAACATTAAGAAAAATTTTTATCGTGGCATCGGTAAATTAAATTCATGTACTTCAAGAAAAGCTCTTAGTTCTGGTTCCTATTCTTTGGATGTCTTGAAAGTCACTGGTGGTGGACCCTGGCTTAGTTACTCTCTCTTTTCAAAATCTCCTTTAAAATGTCAGTAGCTTGGGTTGCCTTCAGATCTGTAGTGCGAACATGTAGCAGTGAACAGAGCTGCTACAATGGCCTCATCTGGGTAGATCCGGAACGCGGTACTTTTGGTCTTCTGTACTCTTTTTTTTTTTTTTTTTTAATGTTTATTTGTTTTGAGAGAGGGGGAGAGGAAGAGCGAGAATCTCAAGCAGGCTCTGGTGCAGAGCCCGATGTGGGGCTTGGGCTCCCGAATCGTAAGATCATGACCTGAGCTGAAATCAAGAGTCGGACGCTTAACCAACTGAGCCCCCCAGGCAGCCGGTCGTCTGTAGTCTTGACCTTTATTAACGGCCCCTCCCCTTAGACGAGCATCAGTGGCTGAGTTTTTTGCTGCTGCCAAGTAGTGGCTGTGTGTTTATCGGTCTTGTTCAATCCTCACGGTAGTTATTGGGAGAGAGCTTATTATTCCCATTTGCAAGTGAAGAAATTGATGCTTAGAGATGTCTGGAGACCACAGTGATAATGAATGCTGGGATTTGGGCCTAAAACCCAGCCTTCTGATTGCAAAGCCTGTCTTTTTACCTACTTTGCACTACACAGAAACTTAAAATACCGTGATACTATAATAAAAGTGGATGTTTTGGGGGAGGGAAGGAGGGCTGGGTATAAAAAGAGAAAGAGGCAAATGTGTCTTGAGGGGATAGCTGTTTTCTCATCTGCTGGGAAGAGAGCCCCAGGACCCAGGGGCCTCAGTTGCCTCTGGAGTTGAGCTACGTGTGGATGAGGAGGGAAGGAGGCATTGCCTGCCGCTGAGGATTCAGAGAGGTGATGCAGGTTGTAGCTTCCTGAGGAACGCGTTACTATACTGGACATTTTGGTTTATGTCAGAAGCAGAGACTTGCCTCCAGGGCTGCTCAGCCAGATCCAAAAGGAGGAATGATCTGGGAAACTTGTAAAGATGACCTTTAAATGGAGCAGTTGGCTCACATCGGCTCTGGGAAAGATCAGGACGGGGCGATTCCTCAACCCCTTGATTTATTTAATTCTTTTCTGGTTTTTCTTGGCTCTACTCCAGGGGAATACAGAGAGAACCGTGTGGCAATACCACTTTCGGACCTGGCCGGACCACGGAGTGCCCAGTGATCCCGGGGGCGTGCTGGACTTCCTGGAGGAGGTCCACCATAAGCAAGAGAGCATTATGGACGCGGGGCCTGTGGTAGTTCACTGCAGGTGACTGGCCCCTGCCACCTCTCCAGGCTGCAGCGTGGCCTGTCTCTTAATGCCCAGGGCTTGTTTTTACCTACCCACCCCCAGCTCTTTACCTGTGAGAAAAATTTAATCTCTGTTCGAGGCATGCATAAACTGCACTGAGGGACACTTTGCCCCGAGAGTGAATTTCTCCTAGGTCCTGTGGGACTGCCAGGTATTGGTGGTAGCAGGGCAGAGGGGGGAGCATCATCCTTATCCTCAGGGAGCCCTTATGTAGTCTCGTAATGTTTGCTTGTTTTTCCATTTTATTTATTTCTGTTTATTAAAAATATTTTTTAATGTTTATTTTGAGAGCGAGAGAGAGAGAGTATGCACAGGGGAGAGGGAGAGAGAGAGAGAGAGAGAGAGAGAGAGAGAG